ATCTCTTGACCTTGTGATCCACCCGCCTCGGCCTCCCAAAGTGCTGGGATTACAGGCTTGAGCCACCGCTCCCGGCTTATACGTGGTTCTTTAACTGCAACAACTGTGCAAGGAAATTTCATCCTTGGAAGGGCTGGATTGGCCCTGGGATTTCCGGCATGGCCTGAGAGACACCTCTTCTTTAGTGATGAGAGTAATTGGAATAGAGAGAAGGGACCTAACAAATATGAAACTCTCAACAAGTGCCAAACACTTTCTATATTTAAATTTTACTAGGCTGTGCATGGTGGCTCACACCTGTAGTGCTAGCACTTTGGGAGGCTGAGCAGGCGGATCACCTGAGGTCAGATGTTTGAAACCAGCATGGCCAATATGGTGAAACCCTGTCTCTACTAAAAATACAAAAATTAGCCAGGCATGGTGGTGGGTGCCTGTAGTCCCAGCTATTCAGAAGGCTGAGGCAGGAGAATTGCTTGAGCCTCGGAGGTGGAGGTTGCAGTGAGCCGAGATAGTGCCATTGCACTCCAGCCTGGTGACAAAGTGAGACTCCATCTCAAAAAAAAAAAAAAAAAAAAAGAGTCAAAAACGGTTTCAAGTCCTGCCACCATCATTACTCCCTGCTATTCCCCCTCAAGTCTATGAGGCTTTTCATGGGGGGTCTTCTGGATAAGGCTGTTCCTAAGGGGAAATAGGGAGGAGTTTTATTGGCATCTTTCACCATTTATTGTGGTTAGCACAGTCATCATAAACACCTGGCAAGGGCACTAAGCTGGGGAAATGAGACAGACACACAATGAATTAACAAAAACAGGGAAATATTTTGGAGGAGGAGAAATTGCTGATGAAAAATTAATGGGAAAACACCCTAAAGCTCGTGATCCACTTCTTTGCACTTTATGATTTCTAGGCGGCCTTTGCACTTGGAGAAAGACTTTGTGGTTCAGAACATTCTAGGCCAGAGGAAAGGGCTGATTTATAATCCCAATATTGCTGCCAGTTTACTGTGTGATTCCAGGTGAATTATTCAACCTATTTATGTGTCAGCTCAGAAAGGGGTGATGTCAGTTTTGTCAGAATGTTTTTTGGTGGGATCTCTGGTAAATGTTGAATGACAGCTATGCAATCTGCAGAACAGAATACTTTTGCTTTCTTCTGTGGGTCAGAAATTGACACATGGCTCATATTTTGACACACAGCAGAAAACCCTTGGGAATGTGAGGTTTTCTTGGGTTAAAAAGAAAAGCAAGAGACACCTGTTATTTGCATGGTGCTCTGGTTTACAAACCATTTTCAGATATCACCACAACTGATCCTTTCCACACCTATGAAGGGGAATTAGCGTCCCCATTTTATAGACAAGGAAACAGGTCATAGAGTTAATATGATTCAACGGTGCTTTGTTATTTATTTGCATACTTTGCCTCAGCTACGCAGAACATTTTTTTCATCTCAATACTTTGTGATAAGGGACCATCACGAATGTCACCACCAAACAACCAAAAAAAACCTTCTTTTCCGGGGGCACCTCTTACCCCCGCACAGACCTCAAACTCAAGTTGGCAGCACACAGCTGTGTATCACAAGACATTGCAAACAAGCCACCATACCAGTAAATCGTCTTCGTGTTTATTATGCAGTGATGTCTGGGAGTACTTTGGAATGGACTGTCTTCTCTAAAGAAAGTTATTTTTGGTCGTTTGGGGGATAGCCAGCTAAGATTCAACATTTTTTTGTTTTGTTTTTGTGAGAGTAGGAAGGCCGTGAAAACAGAGGTTGTTTAGAGAATTGGCCTGGGACAATAACCATTTAGAAGCTTTAGACACATCACCAGTTAAGTGTCCATCAATATCAAGCTGATTGAACAGCATCTCCTCTTGGGGGTGATGGTGATTGTGAACTGTAGGGCCCTGTTCCCCCATGGACAAAGGAAGCCCCCCACTCCTAAAGGTCCCTTATCCCCAGAAGAACAAGCACTGCATATATAGGGCCTGTCTAGAGCCAGGGCCTTTATCTGGGTGTTGGAGAGTTGGTTGTGCTCAGTTGGGATGAACGATGGCAGTTAGGGTGGCCTAGAAGGGAGTTTATCTAGCTCTGTTCCCCGCTGGATCTCTGGCGAGGCGGGAAGCACGCGGGGTCTTCCTGGCCCCAGAACCTCCAGGTACCAGGCCAGCCCCATGAACCTCACCAGAAGGAAGGAACCCTGCTGCTTACACCAATTTGCATCCAACAGTTTGCATTGAGACTGGCGCTTGCCTACTAGGTCAGGCACACGGGGGTTCCCCACGGACGGAAGCAGGGAAGGAGGACCTGTCTCGGGGTGGGCAGGTGATGGGATACCCTGGGTGGAGCAAGAGGCGCTGGGGAGAGGCTGCGCCCCAGCCCCGACTCCAATTCTCTAACAGCCCCTGGTCCGCATTTGAGTCCAGACTTCCGCCTCGGCCAGGACCCTGGCTCCAGGGCCCTCCACTTCCAACAAGGCCCCCCATCCTCCCTCCCGCTCCCCATCCCCTACCCCCAATTCCCGCTGGCCCCACAGCGCTCGGGCCTCCCTGGGCCTCCCCCGGCCCGGCCCGGCCCACTCGGCTTTGCTAGTCTGGCGCTGGGGGCGGGCACCAGCCCCCACCCCTCGGCGTCCCCTCCCCTTCACTTCCCCCTCCCCCGCCCCCTCCCTTCCCTCCCTTCCCCCCGGTGGCTAGGCGGCGGCGGCAGCGGCAGCGGCAGCGGCAGTGGAGGCTGAGGCTGAGGCTGAGGAGTCGGCGGTGGCGGCGGCGGGCGGGGCTCGGCTCGGGCTCCGCGGGCGGGCGGGCGGACATGGCGGCCAACATGTACCGGGTCGGAGGTAGGCAGGCTCGGCCCGACCCGGCCCGTGTGGGAGCGGGCTCCGGGAGCGGGGGGCCGGGGCGAGCGCACGCCAACTGCCGGGAGCCACGGGTGCGGGGGCTGAGGGCGCAGGGGGCGGGGGCGCCAGGGCCAGCAGAGGGGCCGGGGCTCCCCACCCCCACTCCTTCCCTCCCCTCCCCCCATGGTGGCCCGCGAGGGGCCGGGGCCACCTTCACCCTATCACCTCACCCCGTCTTCAGGGCCAGGCCTCTACTTGGGGGTACGAATGACCAGACGCCCCTCCCTCACGAAACCTTCATGGGACTCGGGCTCGTCGAGCCCCCTGAGACGGTGGCCGTCTCCTCGCCTGGCTTCTAGGCGCTGGAGAGGATGGGGGGACATCCCCTCCCCTATTCCTTCCCACCTCAGTGGGAGCCTGGGGTGGGGGTGGGGGCCCAGCCAGGGGCGCAGCTGGACCGGCCTGTTAGCGGGCCAGAGCCCTGCACCTCCCCTTCGTCGCTTCCCCGGTTTGGTTTCTGGTCCAGCCCCCCACAAATGGGGCTTCGTGGGGCCTGGGAACCTCTGCCGGAGGTGGGGAGTTGAGCTCTGCCTGGACGTTTGCTCTGCTGCCTGCCTCCTTCCCAGTCTTCTGCGGAAGAGAGAAATAAGGTCAAACAAACTTTCTCCCTGCTCACGACGCCCTCCTCCCTCTTTCCTGGTAAAATAATAATTCAGATAAGTGGCGTGTTTGTATGAGAGACCGGCTCTTCCTTCTCTGCTCATTAGCCGAGCTTCTGATGGATACTGGTGGGAATGGCCTGGCTAAATGAGGCCACTTTGCAGAAGAGAGCCGTGAAAGAGCCACTAAGACAATAACAGCACAGCCCTGCCTTTCAGATAAACACACAGTGGGAAGTTTCCGGCGAGCCTATTAGATGAGACGAAAAGGCACACTTGAAAAATTTTATCCTTTTAGTTGAAAGCCTGCAGCAATTTCTTAACCACAAGACATTAAATAGGTTTGGATTAAATATGGTAAAAGGGTAAAAAACATTCTGGTATCACCCCCAGAGCACTTTCCCTCTTAGAAGTGATCCCCTTGGCCCCCGTTTTCTCGTCTTCCCAGGTAGAGCTGTGGAATAGTATGTCAGTGTTCTTCCTCTTACCTGCTCTGCTCACCCGATTTTTTTTTTTGAGTAGTGATTGAAATGTAGGTTGGACTGTGAAGCCTTTCTCCATGCTCTGAATGTGTCTTAGGTCAATAGTTTTATGTGAGAAGCAGCCTCCAGGGCAAATTGGATTGGAGGAAAAAGATGTGGAAGTAACAGTACAGAGGACACATGTTTAGTGTGCCCTAACTACACAGTGATAAGAGGTGCCTTTTTTGTTTATTATTAAAGAAATGACATATTGGGACAGAAGTCTAGGAGAACTTGCTAGAACGTTAATTGAAATGAAAATGCCAAGAAAATAAAGGTCTGTGTATCGTAGGCAGATGAGAGAATATATTAAGGCTGTTTGCTTTTACCAGTGAATGAATTATGAGCTTAATTTCAATGTGAATTGCCTAACATTAAAAGTCGTGGATTGACAAATCTGAACTTTCTGTTGAAAAGATTAAGTTCTGTACTTCCTTTAATTACAGATTATGTGTACTTTGAGAATTCCTCCAGCAACCCATACCTAATAAGAAGGATAGAAGAACTCAACAAGGTATACACTTAGTGTTCTTAATTTTAATGTTAAAAATATTTGTTTTTCCGTGACAGGTGATTGGGTAAAGGGTGGCCTGGCGTAGAGACTCTTCCCTGCAATTCCAGTACTTTGGGAGGGTGGGCAGGGGGAGGCCAGCCTGTGCAACATAGTGAGACCCCCATCTCTATTTTTTTAAAACTAAATAAAAAATAAACTGGGTAAAGATCATAAGAGGCGGCTCTACTTTCACTCCCAGACTCTTTGAAAGTTGAGGTTTTAGGCCAGGTGCAGTGGCTCACACCTATAATCCCAGCACTTTTGGAGGCTGAGGTGGGTGGATCACTTGAGGTCAGAAGTTCAAGACCAGCCTGACCATCATGGTGAAACCCCTTTTCTACTAAAAAAGTATAAAAAAATTAATCGGGCATGTTGGCATGCATCTGTAATCTCAGGTACTCAGGAGGCTGAGGCAGGAGAATTGCTTGAACCTGGGAGATGGAGGTTGCAATGAGCTGAGATCATGCCATTGCACTCCAGCCTGGGCAACAGAGCAAGACTCCAAAAAAAAAAGAAAGTTGAGATTTTAGAGAGTTATGCAGGATTCCGAATTCTTAATATTCTTTTGCTTTTTTGTTACTGAATATTTAAAAGTCTGCAGATTTCTTCAAATTGCTTAGAGCCTCTGAAAGAGCAGTTCACTTCTGTAACTCAGACACTTTTTATATTTAGAGTCATAATGGGCCAGGCGCAGTGGCTCATGCCTGTAATCTCAACACTTTGGGAGGCTGAGGCAGGCAGATCACTTGAGGGCAGGAGTTTGAGACCAGCCTGGCCAATAGGTGAAACCCCATTTCTATTAAAAATACAAAAATTAGCCAGGCGTGGTGGTGGGCGCCTGTAGTCCCAGCTACTTGGGAGGCTGAGGCAGGAGAATCGCTTGAACCTGGTAGACGGAGTTGCAGTAAGCGACAGAGCAAGACTCCGTCTCAAAAAAAATATAGAGTCATAATATGTATTTCTCCCTTTTTAGCGAATTAATATTTTCCTTTTCTAGGTTTAGAAGGAGGAAGCTAGGAACATAATATTGAAGGGAATTTGTAAAATTCCGGACTAGAGGCCGGGCGCGGTGGCTCACGCCTGTAATCCCAGCACTTTGGGAGGCCGAGGCGGGTGGATCACGAGGTCAAGAGATCGAGACCATCCTGGTCAACATGGTGAAACCCCGTCTCTACTAAAAACTACAAAAAATTAGCTGGGCATGGTGGCGCGTGCCTGTAATCCCAGCTACTCGGGAGGCTGAGGCAGGAGAATTGCCTGAACCCAGGAGGCGGAGGTTGCGGTGAGCCGAGATCGCGCCATTGCACTCCAGCCTGGATAACAAGAGCAAAACTCCATCTCAAAAAAAAAAAAAAAAAAATTCTGGACTAGACCAAATTGTGTCAGTGGCTCACGCCTGTAATTCTAACTTCAGGAGGCTAAGGTGAAAGGATCCTTTGAGTCAAGAGTTTGAGACTAGCCTGGGTAACAGGGAAACCCCATCTCCACCAAAAAAAATAGCCAGGCATGATGGCACATGCCCATAGTCCCAGTTACTTGGGAGGCTGAGAAAGATTGCTTGGGCCTAGGAGGTCAGGGTTGCAGTGAGCTGTGATTGCACCACTGCACTCCAGACTGGGAAACAGAGTGAGACCTTGTCTCAAAAGAAAAAAAGAATATGTTTTTTTTATAATAAAGTAGCTTTTTTTTTTTTTTGGAGATGGAATTTTGCTCTCGCTGTTCTCACCACAGCCTCTGCCTTCTGGGTTCAAGTGATTCTCCTGTTTCAGCCTCCCGAGTAGCTGAGATTACGGGCATGCACCACCACGCCTGGCTAATTTTTGTATGTTTAGTAGAGATAGGATTTTACCATGTTGGCTAGGCTGGTCTCGAACTCCTGACCTCAGGTGGTCTGCCTGCCTCAGCCTCCCAAAGTGCTGGGACTACAGGTGAGTCACCGTGCCCTGCCCACATACTTATTTTTTAAAACTGTATCCATTCAGGGCTTTTTGGCAACAAAAAAAAAAAAAAAGCCATATCTACAGTGATGCTTTTATTTTCCTCCAGATTACTCTAAGGGTTATGTGGCTTATGAGACTTCATAGTGTTAAAATCTTTGGGTCTGTCTAGCTAATACCCTCCCCTCAAATGCCGTCTGGTGACTTGTTCAGTTTTGTCCTGGAAAGCCAAGCCTTACTTAGGACATTCTTAGTTTAAAGAGCCTTGAGACCTTGGTTTGCTTCGGGAATATCCCAAGGACTCTGCATTATTTTTATTTTTTTTTATTCCAGAGACAGGGAGATAGAGTCTCATTCTGTCACCCAGGCTGGAGTTCAGTGGTAGGATTATATAGCTCACTGTAACCTTGAACTCCTGGACTCAAGCAATCCTCCTGCCTCAGCCTCTGAAGTAGCTGAGACTATAGGCATGTACCACCATACCTGGCTAATTTTTTTTTTTTTTTTTGAGACGGAGTCTCGCTCTTGTTACCCACTCTTTTTTCTCTGTATTTTTTTTTTTTTTTTTGCTATGGAGTTTCACTTTGTTGCCCAGGCTGGAGTATAATGGCATGATCTCTGGTCACTGCAACCTCCATCTCCTGGGTTCAAGTGATTCTCCTGCCTCAGCCTCCTGAGTAGCTGGGATTATAGGTGTCCCCCACCATGCCTGACTAATTTTTATATTTTTGGTAGAGACAGGGTTTCACCATGTTGGCCAGGCTAGTCTTGAACTCCTGACCTCAAGTGATCCACCCGCTTTGGCCTCCCAAAGTGCTGGGATTACAGGCATGAACCACCTTGCCTGGCCTAATTTTTTTTTGTTTTTGTTTTGATACGGAGTTTCGCTCTTGTTACCCAGGCTGGAGTGCAATGGCGCGATCTCGGCTCACCGCAACCTCCGCCTCCTGGGTTCAGGCAATTCTCCTGCCTCAGCCTCCTGAGTAGCTGGGACTACAGACATGTGCCACCATGCCCAGCTAATTTTTTGTAGTTTTAGTAGAGAGGGGGTTTCACCATCTTGACCAGGATGGTCTCGATCTCTTGACCTTGTGATCCACCCGCCTCGGCCTCCCAAAGTGCTGGGATTACAGGCTTGAGCCACTGCGCCCGGCCAGCCTGGCCTAATTTTTAAATTGTTTGTAGAGATGGAGTCTCATTATTACTGCCCAGGCTTATCTAGAACTCCTGGCCTCAAGCAATCCCCCATCTTGGGCTCTCAAAGCACTGGAATTATAGGCTAGCTGCCTTTGCATTTAAAACAAAATTATGTAGTCTTTGAGACCACCAGATGAAGAGAATGGTCTCAAATTTAGATCAGCCTGTGGATGGGAACTGTTGGCATGTGATTCTGATCTTTTATGTTATTGATGTAAGGTATAAGTATTGAGGCAACCCCAAACTATTTACTGTATCAGTTTAATTAGAAAGTTAATTAGGGCCGGGCGAGGTGGCTCAAGCCTGTAATCCCAGCACTGTGGGAGGCCGAGGCGGGTGGATCACAAGGTCAAGAGATCGAGACCATCCTGGTCAACATGGTGAAACCCCGTCTCTATTAAAACTACAAAACATTAGTTGGGCATGGTGGCACGTGCCTGTAATCCCAGCGGCTCAGGAGGCTGGGGCAGGAGAATTGCCTGAACCCGGGAGGTGGAGGTTGCGGTGAGCCGAGATCGCGCCA